TGAGTTATTGGCCTTTAGTGCCACAGTTTTCTCCTTCTTTTTTTCACATGCATCCAGATTTCTTTGATTCACTCCTTGCTCGTAAGCAATAAGTGAGCCAAGTAAGTTATCAATTAAATAAGTATTTAAATCTTTAGATTCAGTAATTACAGTAATTTTAGCATCAAAAGAGGAAGGCAAGCATCTCAAAATTTTATTCACCTTTTCATAGTTAGTGAATTCTCTTCCTAAGGCATGCAAAGAAGTTACAATATGAGTAAACCTTATATACATTTCAGAAATTGATTCATGATGTTTCATACAAAAAAGTTCGTAATCATGCAACAAAATATTCAAACAAAATTACTTAACTTTATTAGTTCCTTCATATGTAATGCACAAGCTATCCCAAATCTCTTTACCAAAAGCACAAGTTGAAACACACATGTAATCTTCAGATTTTAAAGCATAGAAAAAACTGTTCAAATACTTTGCATTAAGTTGTGCTAAATCTCTTTCATCAAAAGTCTATTCAATAAAAGGTACTTCGATTTTAATTCCATTAAGTTCACGAGAATGTGGAGAATATCCTTCTTTAATAAGCATCCACATGCGATAATCAATCGATTGTAAGAAAGTAGACATGCAAGTTTTCTAAAAATTAAAAGGAAGATTATCAAACAAAGGTGGTCGTGTAATAGAATATCTTTTCATTGTATTATGATTCCCAAAGTTATCCATGGATTAAAATTCAAAAAGTTTTTAAACTTAATTTTATGAAAATAGCTCTAATACCATTTGAAAGTTCGTTAGGGATGTTAAGCCCTATGAACCGGCCCAAGACTAACCAAGAGGGGGGGAGTGAATTGGTATTTTAAAAATTCTTACAATCAAGACACAAAACTCAAATCAAGATTCACCACAACATAAATCAAAGTGTAGAAAATTAAATGTGAAAGCAGTAGAAAAAGAACACAAGGATTTATAGTGGTTCGGTCAACTCGACCTACATCCACTCCCTGGAGGTTCCCTCCGAGTATTTCCCAACAAAAGTGACTCTCCTTTTTCTCCCACAGTAAGGCGGAGAAGCTCTCACAAAAACTCCTTTCCGCCAACCTCGACGAGGCAGAGAACCCAACTTCTTTTGCTTCCTCCTAAAGCAGGTAGAGAACCTTGCTTGATTGCTGAAGCTCACCTCTCTCAACCCTTCCAAGGATAAGAGACTCTAGTGGAAGAAGAAGTGGAACAATACTTGGAGCAACTCATGTGAATCCCCCTCACAAGCTCCCCCTCATAAAATCCTCTCTCTCCCTCTCCTTTAGGCTTTCTCAGGTTAAGACAACAGCAAAAGATCTCCTCTAAGGTAGAGCAAGAGATCTTAAATAGAAGAGCTTCGGAATAGCTCTTATTTTATACAAAGATCAGCGTAAATTTTGCTCAATCAACCCGATCGGTTTGGAATGATTAGAGTAATTTTTGTCACATCATCCAGGCTGATAGGATATCGTCCTAGCCAATTAGTTTAAATCCGAGCCAAATCATCCTGGACATCGCCTTGAATTGAAGTAGGGTGATGTCAATCATCCACGATATCGTCCCAACCAATCCTGCGATGGGCCCGACCGATGTGATAGTGCAATCAGCCTTAATTACTTTCCTTAATTATCAGATCAATTTAGGCATAATTATGCTACATCGTCCAGGCCGATAATATATCATACTGGCCGATGTCCTAAAATAAAGAATACCTAAATAGATCATGACGGCTGATTCTTTCTGATTTGAGCCTATTGTCCAGGCCGATCGGCTTAATGACGACTTCCTTAACCATGATGCCATAATTAGGGTTTCTATTTTTTAACTGATCGTCCAGGCCGATGTGAGCAAAATCAAAAGACTCTAAATTCAGATAGAAAAAGTCACTCAAGTGTGTGTGTAGAGTTACTTAGCATTAGACACCTCAAAGATTATAATTGACTCAAGAAAGGGAAAAAGTACATTACAAACTGACTCAGATCTAGTCTACCCGATCTTGAGCTGGTTCCGATTGCCCTCTAATCTTTTGGTCCTAAAATGTCAGTAGGCAAGGCAGTCGAAGTAAAACAGAAGTATTTGCAATCATCAAAATTCTATTTCTGAAAAATAGATACGCAACAGGAATAACATATTTAAAATATATTTAAAGTGCAGTTAGTGGCATGACACTATGGTGCTACCATATATTGATGCAGCGCTACTTCATTGTCTAAAAAATTGAGATTGGAGCATTAAAATGTTACTATTTGGCACCTTGGTGGTGCTGCTGCACCGCGATGTTCAAACAACAACATTGTGGCACTCAAATAGTAAAATTTCAGAAATTTTGCTAAAATGAACTCCAAACCCTAAGACTATTTCTAGAACACATGGAACACTTTTTCACACACTAAAATACTTCCAAATACATACAAATAAGTTCAAATATAAGAAATACAATAGGTTACATGACTTCAAATCGGGTCAAACCAATCTAAATAATACTATTAATCTGGAGTTCTCATAGTTAGACAAAGCTTTAGACTACCTATGAATGGGTTCGCTCACCTCACCGTGAGTGGAGGTTAAGATGAATAACCCTCTCTAGAATTCAACTGAAAAGCCTTATATCAATGGGTTGATCATGCACATGGTTGGTTAGGGTCGTGCTAATGATTGAAGCTTATGAGTACTATTACAAAGACGCTAAGGGTTCAGAGGAACTTTTTTTAGGCTAGGAGGATGATAAATGTAAATGAAGATAAATCCCTTGTTTGGTTTGGTTGATTGGCTAAAACTAAGAATTAACCATGATAGACCCATGTTTAGTTTAACTTAATTAGTTGTCATCTATCATGAATTAGCCAATTTGTGTGCATGTGTGTGTCTTGGTTGGGGTTTGTGGTCTTGGGGGTGGTGGTGGGGGGGGGGGGGGGGGGTAAGATGCTTCCAAAAGGTCAAAAAAGCAACAAGAATAATTTTCCTTAGGGTTAAAATGGATTAATCCTGTTGGACATGGTTAACCTAGGCCAATTAGCTTAATTTTAAGGTTAAGCTACTAGGTTAAGTTATGTAATGGTGTTTGGGCAGCCTTTTGAATAAATTGGTTAAGCCAATTTTGGCTTTAAAAGCCATTAAATTTAATTGAGTTCAAATTGATTCTAATGGATCATGTTGAACTATTTAACAAAAATGGTCATACCCATGATCAAATTGGGTTACCAATGGTTGGGTCAAGTCAAATACATCCTAGAAAGGGTTCATGTTCAATTGAATGAACTAATTCAAGGATTAAAGTTAATTTTGTCCAACTAAGTCCATTTGGGTCAAGTAGGGTCAGTTGAATTTAATCGGTCAAATCAAGGGGCCAATTGGTTTTCTATGCAAGTGGTCTATCTATGGTGAGCCTAAAGTCTAAAGGGTTTGGCCATTTTGAAGCTTAAGGTGATTTGATTTCAATTGGGTTAACTTGGGTTTTAGTGAGTCACTTGACCAACCAACCTATTAGTCCAATTGAGAATTAATTCGAGTTTTATTTCTCTCTCTCTCTCTCTCTCTCTCCATGATTTACCATTATCTCCTCTTAAGCATATTAGTTACTTTTAGATTATTGACTCATTTTGCTAGTTATCATCCTTACCAAGTTGAGTTGTTGTGTTCCTCTGTGTCTCTATGTATTTTATTCTCCTGAATATAATTTACATTTTTATCTTTTGATGATCTTGTGAGAATTCCCTTCATCCTCTCACTTCTTAGTGTTAGTTGATATATTTCATTGTGTTGTGGTGCACCTTTCATATTTAACTTCTTATCTCCTCTCATTGATAAGATCCTTATCATTAATCAATAAAACTATGATATTGAATAATATAAAATTAATAATTAACATGTGTACATTTGATTTTATTCAAATATAAACACCAAATCAAAAGGGAATGATCGCAATATCCTTAAAGTAATTATTGTTTATGATAGTGCAAAAGTTGGTTTTATTTTACTCTATCATTCAATGACTTGGGAAGTGTTAAGATATTCACTTATTAATCTAGTTAACTAATGACTACTTTGTTTGACTCACTTTTAGTCATCAACATTCAACAAAGAATAAATTCTTGTAAGAACAACCATCACCTAATATGTATCATAAAAATATTAATTAAATATTGAGTAATAGTAACTAATGACAACTACACCATCTTACAAAATTATAATTTAATAGTAAAATTGCTAAACTTAAAGGGATATTCCTTTTGAGATTCGAACCTCTTAGATTCTTCATTAAATTGTACACAAATATTTTTATACCTCAAGCTCAGCTAGGTTGAGTTTTTTTTTTTTCATTCTTAAAGATTTTGTAACAGAAAGAGCTTTGTTTGCATCATTGGAGGACCAGAAAAAAATTAATACCAAATAGCTCATTCTTTGGTGATGTATTATCTTTTATATATAGTATTAATCTATTTTTACTACCTTAGTGAGTAACTCTCTTGTTGTTCTCAACTTCTATTCCATGCTTATAAATAACATTTAGTGCTGTCATTTAGAGTGAGAGAAGTTGATTGGCAATGGTGAAAAAAAAATCTTTACATATGAACATGAATGAGCACTTGATTGCATTTATATTTAGGGAGATTGAATGATCCTATTGGTGTCGCTTGAAACTTGTTTGGATTAATATTTATTGATATAGGTGGAAGTCGAGAGACAAAAGTTATAGGAACTTATTTTTATGGGTATGGGACGAGGAGAAGACTCGAGTTTGAGTTATTTAACACTTGCTATTATGATTTATAACTTGTTTATATTAAGAGAACGTGTGTAGATGAATATAAGATAATTAGGATTTTAAGGAAAAAAAAAAAGGGAAGATTATAAATATTTAGGGTTTTGTGTACGGGAGCCTAGCCAATGGCTTAGGGAGGCTTAAGAAAATAAAATAAGTATTTGAAATATTTTTATGTTTAAATATTATGTTTATATATATATATGCTTTACTAATTTAAATTCGTCAGATCCGAACCGAACTTGCGTTGTGTATGCCTATTTATTTATTAAGAGAGCATCGTCGAACCGATGGTGCTTGCTAGGTCGGAGGGGAAACCTAGTTGACGGCCTTCACCGGAAAATCGTCGGCAGTAAGACGGAAAGGATGGACAGCGAGGGGGACTTAGATGCGCCGGAGGAGCTTACTTCGGCGCAGGTTTGTAGGCTACATCATTTTCAATAAATCATGCTTAGGAAACTTGGTTTATATGCTTAGCAAACTGGGTTTCTATGCTTAGCAATCTTCTACATTCACCTTCTGCTGCTAGGTAGTATATTGTAAATCTTAGATACAATCTTGTGTATTCTCATATTTGGCGACGTTGGTTTACAGGGCATCAAGCAAGATGTACAAATAAGAAAAATTCAGAGAGATAATAAGATCAGGTAATTTATCGCTGCTTTGTGTTCGAACATCTTATAATATCATATAGCTTTTCAAGTTTCTGTTGCTTCCTGTTTTGGTTTATTGCTATTTATGAATTGTCAATTGTTGTTTGGAATATCGCAATCAAGTTATATTTTTGGCACCTCTAGTGGGTTTATCTAGGGCTGCTTCATAGTAGTCATTGGCTACTAGACCGAATGCATCACAGTTGCTTTCCTACTGCGGTCCAGTTCTGATGCTGGAAGCAAGAGTCGGGGGCAGGTTGTCTGATCTAGCTGCTATGATATATGCTACTGATATTGTTAGGATATTGTCAGCAAGCAGGCACCTGAGACTCCGTCAAGATTATTTCCTTCAGCAACTTGCACCATCTATGTTGCTATGAATAAGGCAGCGAGGGAGACATTTGGTGGGGACAATGTTGCATTATCTTCTTCGATTACCGCTCAAGATGTCAGATTTAAGTGATATAGAGATTGAATTTTCGTTTGATTTGCTAGAGAGAGGTGGTAAGTGATCTGATCATCTTTCAATCTCCATGTAACTCTTCATTCTTCAATCTGCAATGATGCTAGGTTTCTTTCCTATAAATATCATCCCGCCAAGAAATCTAGCTAGGTCAATCCATGCCCTCAGACGACTTCTGAAGGTTATTAAGATTATCTTGCAACTTAAACAGTGCGGAGAGTTAAAAAATGGCTCTTTAATTGAGATTGTTACAGGTAAGAAAACATACAACAAGGAATTTGGGTGAGAGCCTAGCTTGTTTACACTAGTGATCGCCCACATCTTCATCTTTGATAGTGGCTCAGCAGTTCATCACCATTGAAAATTTCCACTAATTGTAGGATGATCTAAAAGATCTTAGTATGTTGATTTGTAGATGACAACCTAGCTGATTACTAGTGTAGATGGGTGATATCCTGTTGACTCAGAGCTGTGTTAAACTATTAAGATGCATGTTTCTCTTTTCGAAGACTTTTATAGACTATGCTGAATGCTAGTTTGAATGTATGAAATTAGTACACATGTTTTTGGAACATGAAAAGTCAGCTAGAAGGACTCTCATGTATTTATCACGAAGAGCATGGAGGAGCCAATTCTTTTGAATTTTAAAATTGTCAAACTCAATCATTACATAGAACCTTCAATTATATTGATTACAAAGATGGATTTGTGGAGTCACTTGGCTTCATCTACAATTTCATACCAACTTCTAAAAGCACTCAAAATTGAAGCTTGGAAGCATCACATTTTTCAATGATCATAAATAGTAATATGTATAATTTATTGCCAGCGCTTTCAAATATCTCAATTGCTTTAAGAGCTTGCTCCAGTTGTGGCAGAATTAGCAAAATGGCCTTAAATTAAACATTACATGGCTCATAAATTAATACATGGCTCATAAATTAATGTTGGAAGTATGCAACTTGCTACCTTATATATTCGAGGGGACATACAAACTTGAATGCCATTGGAGAATACTTCATCTTGCACTCAAGGATGAGGGCCATCTAGGACCACACATATCATCAAACTTGTCCGAGTACTATTGTGATAATGTCCATGATATTTAAGAGTTTTGATAACTCAAGGTAATCATCAAAAGGCTTATTGTGTAGATCCATTTGAAAGATTGAACATTTTAAGGTGATTAGAAAATAAGGTGAGATAACTGTAATGATGCAAAAATAGGTGTAAGTAATTGTTTCAAACATTACAAGAGTGTTTGAAAGGGACGTTGCATAGCATTTTAATTTTCTAGTAGTATAAGGGCTATGATGCACATCAATGATCCTTAGCTTTCATCATTTTTTTGAAGATATATTGTCAAGGGGGAACCTGTATGACAGCATGATATGATGGTTTGTGATTGAAAATTATGAAATTTCAAAAGCTTCAATGATGGCTCTTCAACCGAGTGCTTATGAAAGTTAACATAACCCCCTTGAAAAGGCTCATGCCATGAAACGGTGCTTTGGTTGGGTTCTCCAAGCAAGTAGGACACTAATGGGGTCATCAAACTTTTAATAACTTGGTAAAGGAAAGATCAATCGACACTTAAGTTATTTACTTCACTGTGATTTTGATTTTTCGAAGTTATAGTAATATATTTTTGTGTTTGTTTAGTCATTAATTTTTTATTTATATTCACTCATACAACCTAGTTATAAAGTTTTTGGCTTTGATGAGGATCATAATTTTTAGGGCAATTTTTGTCGTAGAAAATCGACCTCATATTTTTCAGAGCACTTATGAAGTGCAAATGCTAATTGGGTCTTTGAGTAAAATATTAAAGATTGCTCGAAAATTTAATCAGGTTTTGGTTTTGTCCAAGCAAGGTTGAAATTAAAGATAAAGCCAACATGATTTGAGCTAAGCTTGGACTGAATTGAGCTTCTCAATATTAGATTGTATTGTATATTTATATATAAATTCATTTCTATTATATGTATGCATTAATATTAGATTGCTCTATATCTATTTAGCATAAAGAGGATGAACAAAAGAATGATATTCTTCAAGATATGATGTTGAAACTGCAATGGTAAGGAATTATTAATCATTGAAGGTACGTTATAAGATAGGAGAATTGAAATTATATTGTTTGTCCAGACTATACGATAGGATTATTGATTTTTAGAGAAGATTGTTCTTGAAGTTTTAGGAGAGCTTAATAATATATTGTACATAAGGTGATTTTGTGGTAGAGTGACAAGTTATAAAAGTTTTAAAGGAAAAATAAATATATATTTAAAAAAGTGATAAAAATTAAATACTATTGAGGTTTCTAATGATTGAAAGGAGGTTAGAAGCCCTACAAAGATGTTAGTGAACAAATTAAAACTTATAGCTTTTGATGATTTATATATTATGTTAAGTACCAAGGAAGGCCATAAATTAGATAAATAAAGCAGCCAAGTTAGGAGATAAAAAGATTTATATACTTTAATTAAGTTGGATGTATTAAAAATAATGATAATGAAATCTTATTTAATGTTAAATACACCAAGAAATATATTGAATGCACATGGGACCCACAATTTAAACAATCTTGGTAGAGATCCTTGAGCATACGGATTAGAGGATGTAATAGTTGGTTCGATCTTTTTATTTCCCTTAGATCGCAATTCGTGTGCTTCCTCTTTCTCTTCTTGCCACATAACTTTTGTATAAACTTTTTTTTTTAATAAATATCTTTGATTTACTTTTATTGTAAGACTTTTATAGAAGTTTATATATACTTCCACGCGTGTAAGGAATCAAGCAATTAAATTCAGAGTAATTTTTTTTTAGCTTTCTATTTTTTGACATGTTATCAGAGAGTGCTTATAGTTTTTTTTCAACATTTGTTATTTTTTGTTATTATCGGAATTATTCATTCTCTTTATTATATTTGGTTTCCTAAACTTCCCTATTAAGGAATTAACCACCATGAATGGTGATAGTCATAATATTAGAGAACTTTATTGGCTACAAGTCTCATATCTCTTGAATGGAAAAACTATTTGAAGTGGTCCCAAATATGAAGACCTTTATGAAACAAAGGAAAATATATTGTCGCCTTGTAGATGCTCCTCTGGGGCTGAAGACTCAGAAGTTGTATGTTGAGCTAAAATGGATTCCATGATCAAGGCATAGTTGCGGAATACCTAGATACATGAAATATGTGGGCCATTTATTCCTCTTTATTGCAAATGAAGTTTGACATGCTGTTAAATAAACGTACTCAAAAGTGAAAGATGTCTCATTTACTATATAAAAACTATGATTTCAACAATTAAGTAGGTAACTTTTCTATTATTGAATACTTAAATACAATGAAGATTTATTGGCTTGAATTGGATTTATTAAAATCTCATGGTGACATGCTTTGATTATGTCTTAATTCTTAAGAAATTTGTAGTAAAAAAAATGATGTTTAACTTTCCTATAGGACTCGGTAATCAATTCGACCAAGTTTGTGTCCAAATTTTAAGAAGAGAAAACCTACCACCACTAAATGAGGCTTTTTCTCTCATTAGTCTGAAGAAAGAAGAAGGACGATAATGTTTAACGCTCTATCGATTCTTCGAAATATCTGCTTGAAAATCACCAAAGCCCATGGTAATGGATTTATTGCTACATACTTTCCCTAAAGAAAGAAAAAAAACATTCTTTTAAAGGCAATCTTTGGTGTAACTATTGCAAGAGAAAATGTGACATCAAATAAAAATATTGGAAACTCTATGAAAAGCCCCAGGTTATGGTAGAAATAAAGAAATTCATTAAAGAGGGCAGGCTTGTCTTGTGAAATCAAAAGCGCATAATCCAAAAAAACATGACGATCTTAGAAGTTTTCTCAACTATTTGAAAAAAAATCTTTGGATCATGCTCTCTGGCTTAAAATGATATGACTTATAACTTTTTTTTGTGCCTTAAATAAAGTCTCACATCGAGATCATAAATTCAGGAGGCATTAAACAGAAAATCTATAAATTTTGCGCCAACAATAGAAAAATACAAAATGGCCAATTATTCTTTATCCATTATTTCAAGTCAAAGAAATGTTTTAATTTTTTCACATTTATCCTCATTAATATACTACATATTTCTTGTATTACATTAAATCTTTTATCGATCCATAAAATTACTAAAAACCACAAATGTAAGCTTTTTTGTAAGACAAAAATAGCATGTCATTCTTGACTTCCAACCTCAATATAGAGGTTGTTTGGAAATATTATTACATGTTAGGTTATCCCTCTTTCAAAACTCTACAATGTATGATTCATTCACTGTTTGTAAATGTAAGCCTGAAAATTCTTCTTTATTAGAATTGTGAAATTATCAAACATCATCATATTATTTTTCTTAAAGTGATTCTAGATTCTCTATTCTTTTTTTAGTTGTTCACTTTGGCATCTAGGGATCTTCCAAAATTCTTAACATTTTTGCAACTATAGGATTTCTCGTTTTCATTGATAATTTCACTAGGATGATGTGACTATATTTTATG